AGGCACCCACCCACAATGCCCGGCTATTTTTTGTTGCAGTTTGGCCGGGGCCGGGTTTGAACCTGCCACCCTTGGTATGTGGGGCTCGTGCCCTACTCACTGAGCCACAGGCGCTACCCAATAATGATCATTTTTTAAGAACTACAATGCTTTTATTGTTTTACTTGTGAAACTAGAATGTCATGGCACATTACTTAAAGGGTGGCATTTTGTTGCTTTTGAAATACTTACACATTTCAAAAATGAGTATATATCATTGTAGAAAATCTTTTTTTTTTTTTTTAGGTAAGTTTTGTTATTTATTTTAAAAACTTACTTTGTTTTAAAATGACCGAATTGTGGCACACAGAATTGGTTCATTAGCTCTGCAAGTTAATTATATTATTGAAATGTACTATAGAAATGGTGGAACTGGATCATCTGTGATGATTAAATTGCATCTGTAAGCCATAAATGGATAAAAGAAATGTACTTGCATGAATTCTTTAAGGTAAAGGAGACTGATAAAGGTTTGATTGTTTTCTTATCAGGTTGCATGAAACTCGTTCGGGAGACATCTGCAATGCCTGTGTCCTGCTTGTGAAAAGATGGAAGAAGTTGCCAGCAGGATCAAAAAAAAATTGGAATCATGTTAGTTAATCTTCTTTCTCAATTATACTCTATTATATTTAAAGTAATAATAATTTCCCCCTAATTTAGGAAGTAATATATCCCTAGGGTAGAAAAATCTAAAAAGAATAAAGAAAAACACTAGCTGCTGCTCAGGTATAATCGCTTAACATTTTGTCATGTTTGGAACAGAATAGCTTGGTGTGGCATTTCCCTAAGGCTGTATCCAGTTTCCTCCTTTTGGAGATTCACAGTGCACCTTCACGTATTTTTAGGCTTAACCCAGTAATTCCTGGAGTTAATTAGACAGGGATCCTTTTTTCATTTCTTAGGGGTAACATATTCCTTTGGACTCAGGTTGGTACCAGCATGCACATAGATTTTTATTTTTATTTCAGATTAATATGAGGGTACAAACCATTAGGTCACATAATTTACACATGAAAGGTTAAAGTTAAGAGATATAGCTGTGTCCTACAGTCAGGGAGTGTGCCATATAGTCATGCATTATACCGAAGCTACCAAATCCCCTCCCCTCTTCTTGAATTTGAGATTTTTCTCTTGTGTTGGTAAATTTATGTATACATGCTTATAGTTTCAGAATCAGACTTGGATTTGAATCTTACCTTTACCATATACTAGTTGTAAACTTTGAGCAGGTTACATTTATTTATGAAGTGTAAAGCTGACTAGGTATTATACTGTGAGAGGCCAGGATCAAACCCACTAGCCCTGCTGTATGTGGCCAGTGCCATAGCTGCTGAGCTACACGTGCTGAACCATAGTTTTTCTATTTTTAGTAGAGGTGGGGTCTTTTTTTTTTGTTTTAAGAATCAAAATATTTTATTTCCAAATTCTATTTTCTGAACACTTTTTTTTTTCTTTTTTGCAATATCCCCTGATTTTAAAAACTGCCACCATCCTAGACCTCCTGGCTTCTCTTATACCTTTACGTGGCCCCTTTCTTTCCCAGTTCTGACCCATCAGCCTGAATTTGACCTATTCATTTTAGCTTTGTCCCTCTAACCTATGGGAGCAGGACTGGACTCTGAATTGCAGCTGGAGAGCTCCCGATTAGCTAGTGTTAGAGTCCAATCCACTTCTTCTTAATTCTTCTTACTCTTGGTTTTTGTGACCTTCACATCCAGCATACTCTGGGCATGTGTTAGCTGCTTCACAGAATCAAACACAAGGATTCCAGGCAGCATAATCCATAGGGAATTCATGAAGACAAAGTAAAACCAGAAGTAGAGGGGATGGCCCAGCTCACCATGCTAGAATCCATCATTGTACTCTGTCGGGAAGTACAGTATGTCCCCATAGATCTGGCCCACCAAGACCACAAGCTGTAGGACAAAGCGGAAGGGTTGCTGGTGGAGAAAGGCGATCACCACCCATAGGCTGAGTGGTCCCCACAGTAAAACTGTGATGGTTTCCATGCATACCATGAACTTGTCACCCGGGATGTATCGGCTATCTGCCTTGGCATATTCTTACCAGAGTTGGGATAAGAAGGCTTGGTCTCCAAGAACGTCCTCATGGTAGAGAATGACCCAGCCCTTAATAGTCAGGTGAATAAATCCACACACTGCAAAGCAGCACAGGCACAGTCGCCACCAAGTCCCCAGTGGAACAACAGCAGCACAACTGGACAAATGCCATGTGGTCGTGACTAAGACCCCACAGACAGAGAAGAGGTCAGCCAGGAGATGCCAGGTGGAATATTCATTAGGTATAAGTTAGCCAGCTTTAGGTTCTGAGGCCAGTATGGATGCAAGGGGCCAGCATTGGTGGTCATGTCTTCTTAGGCTGATTGTTGGCTCCCTAAAGCGATTGCAACAATGTCTCCCACGAGCTCCCAGCTCTCTCTCGTAGAGGTGGGATCTTGCTCTTGCTCAGGCTTATCTTGAACCTCTTGAGTTCAGATGATCCATCTACCTTGGCCTCTCAGAGTGATAGGATTACAGGTGTGAGCCACCATTCTTGGCTAGAATTTTCATAAAATATT